AGAGGGAACTCCTGTGAGATAAGTTTTCAAAAGGTCATTCTGCCCACTTTATTGGCTAGTAATTCAATGTTAGTATCTTGTGTTAAAAGTTGTAAATTAAGCAACAGGTGACTCACTGCACTGTTTACTAAATTATTTTCAAATGTATTCAGACAAAAACCTTTCATATTTGTTTTCTGCAAACGAATATATCCATTAACTCTAAAAATGAAAGAACTTGCAAGTAACACTCTCCTGGTCCACTTTCTCTGCTGGTGTTTTTAACTCATATCATAGACTAACTAGCTGCTGTCAGCTTTTTGTTATCTTATTGAAATGCTCTTTGAATTTGCTTGTCGGTAAAAGATTCCACATGTAGCTTTGGAGGAAGTGTGTTCAGTGAACAGAGATCTCAAAATTTCCAGTTACATGCACGTCCCAAGACTAACCTTTGTGGTATTCCTGAAGAGAACTGAAAGGAATGAGCTTGTTTAAAAGCCAATAACTGGTAAAATTTTGAAGCCATACTTTCCATTGACGAGATCCTGCCTCAAAACGATTTTTTCTTGTTCATCGAGGATGATATTCCACATTAACAGTGTTGTTTATTTCTAATCACTTCATCATGCTTTCACGATGAACTGATGTGAAATCTCACTGCTAGCACATCACATTTCCAACCAAGGTTATGAACCTCTAAGTGCTGACAAGAGCTGTCAAAATAGACCAATCACAAGGTATACCATTCTGGTATACTGGGATGAGCTTTTGTTAAAAAGTACTACAGGCGTTCCCTCACTCTCACCCCCTACCCCCACCCCCTTGCCATTATTTTTCTGCTCACATCTCTTTGCACTATCCCCACGTTCCGAATGTCTGGAACAGGCTAGGTATGGTCTGACAATGTGATGTATTATGACGCCACAAGTGGTAAAAGGGACGGAAATCTGAACGGGTAATGTGCGTGACAATAGGTTAAACAAATAATACAAACCTTTCCACAATAAGGTGTTTGTTTGTCAGCTGCTGAACAGTTATGCTAACTTGCTTGCGCAAGTCCTGACGAAGTTTGAAGCAGTTTTTGTCTCGAGCGGCAGATGAGAACCCTTTGTTGTCTTCCTCAAGAATATCAAGAGTCACATCAAATTTGAATAACAGGTTACTGACGCCAGCTATAGTCATGGCGGAAGTGTCTGCAGAAGATTCTAAAGCCTGCTGCTTTCGCTTTTAAAGTAAAAAAAAGAAAAATACTATGGAAAACGAATTTAAGAGACTTCAAAATAGTATGGAGGGGCACTCGCATGACTCCTAATATACCTTTAGCCCTCAGATTGTAAATTTACACTTTACACATACATATAATACCAGATTATTTACTACATTTCCTTTAACTGTAAAACTCATAAAACTGTGAACACTGAAAAATAACATTTTTAGAATATTATAATTGTGCTGCACGGAAAAAGCCAATAGGGTGTGAGAAAACAACAGTAATTTTAGTTTGTGGTTTTCTGCCTTGCTCTACTGTCCTGATCTTTGTTGTGATTGTTCATAACACAATAAAAACTCTTGAAATATTTCAGGTGTTCACAGTTTTCTGAGTCCTTCTGCAATGAACAGATGCTTCAGTTTGCCAGATAAGAGCTCTGTAAGTGCATGGGGAAAGAAAGAACAGAAAGGAGATCATGATTGACTTAATGAAGAAGAAACTGCTCTTCCTTTTTGATGCTATAGATGTGGTGAATGATACAGTGTACCTAGAAAATCATGGTCCTCAGAAAATTTTGATCCAACCTTAAAATCTTATAAATGTCTGTAATAATTAGTCTTGAGGTTTTGTTTTAGTGTGTTTCTTTCCATCTGTAGTCTTGAACTTTTTGCTGTCAGTCATATTCTTGAAATAATCATGGTCTCACAGCATCCTGACAAGTTAAGGATTCTACTATCCAACTTCCCTGATGCTGGCACATTAGTCAAGGTCAAATGAGGTCAGAATAGAGGGAGGATCTCGTTGTGGTATTCTTACTATATTGCAGAGTGAGTGGGAAAGAGGGATCGGAGCACTTATTTTATGGAAGGCACTTTTCAAACACAATAATTATTAGAGAGCAACTTCTCTTGTGTTTTTGAGCTACACCTGATAATAGGCAGTATTTCTACGCTGTTGGATCAACCTTTCACTATCTATGCACTAATCTATTTTTAAAGTTTGATATACTAACAAAATGTCGGTAACAAGATGGTAGGTTGGTAAAATGGTCACAGAGTGATAAGAAACACTCACTGAAGAATATTTGTCCTCCAAAGAGATTTAGCATGTTGAAAAGAGAACAAAAAGAACGAATATCTAAGAACAAATAACTAATGTTTTCATTTTTGTTCCAATTCACTCCAATGAGTGGTAAATTAGTGAAAGAATAACAGTGTAAAAATATGCTTATTTCATAATAACTTGATTCACTTAGTGATAGACTTCTTAAACAAGTTCAGTATTACCATGTAACTTGCTTAAGTTCTGTCTTTTAAGGCATAGTTTAACTTCTTTCACATGAGGTCTGTGATGTTTGAGTGTCTGCCCAATTACCTGTAAACCACTACAAATCAATGAATTTTATTATCCCCTCAACAATACACTACACTACAACACCAAGCTCTGCCATGTCTACTACATGTATACACCTATTTCAATTAAGGTTGCTCCTGTGAACTATGTTTCATAGCCTGCAGTGCACTATGGTAAACCCTTTTGTAGCGGGAAGTTTAATCTTGCTCACGTTCATTGAAATAATGGAGACCATTTGTGAAAAGGCGTTCAAGAGAGCTTTAAAGTCCAATGGCTGCAAAAATTCTTAAGCATGAGCGAGCTGAACATTTTCATTTTTAAAATCTCATAGTAAAAAATTACTTTTATTACCTTTCTGTTTCTTCGAAAAGATAAAGCAAACGTCCTCAAAATCTTCCCAGCCTGAGTATTGGAAAAGAACATCAAGATAATTATGTTGAACTAGTAATGGGCAAGGGTTCAAGATAGCCATCTTTAATTAAATCACTGATGAGCAAGAAGTAGCCCCCTGGCAAAAAAAATGTGAGAGCTGCTTGAAATAAGGACAACCTGTGGAATTTAAGTCTTTTTGAAGCACTGACAATGTCTTTGGATGAAACATTTTCCTCAAAAATAAAATAGCTGTTGACCCTGTGGCCAACTGTTTATTTTTTGCTCTCGGCTAGGGACTTTATTCTTTAGTGTAACAGCTGCTGAAAACTTGTGATAAGGCATTATATTTAGTAGAATTGAAAGAAGAAGTGATCCTTGTCTTTTTCATTCTTTAACCAAAGGCTCCTATTACATCCTTATCTCTACACAGTTCAGTTATTACATGCTGTGCTGACAGAGGCTCTGGTGTTAAGGTTCAACTATGAATAACTTTTTATAAGAAAACACCCTGGCGTGGGGGGGATGCTCCGGATTTCAAAAGATGGGGATGATCCAGTGGGGGCAAAAAATCAAAACCTCCAAAAACTCCCAGGACTTCCAACAAAACCCCCAAAAAACCCATGCCAAATTTCGTCAGATTGTTTTGAATACCCAAAGAAATTCCTACTTAAATCAAGCCACCCAAAAAATACCTACCCAAAAAAACCCGGAATTGAAAATTTCAAACCCTAAAAAATCCCTCGATCATCCCCGTCACTTGAAAATAAAAATCTGGAGTACCCTCTCCTGCTGGCGACAACATAAACAGTAACAATTAATACATTTTTACCTTTTCTGGATCCATACATCTAAAGTGTACTGTCACCTTCTATAGTCTCAGAGGTACTTATCACAACTTCCGTTTTGTCAGTGAAAGTAAAGGAAGTCGTAGTGGTGCTGGTGTTTTGTTATAAGAGACATACACTATTCATCGTTATAGTCGTACCGTCTCGGGATCCTTCAGTCTGATCATACCGTCTGATGTAGAACCCACGTAAAGCAAAACATCAATGGTGACTTCTGTTTGTTCCCTTAGAACCGCCATTGTTCGTTTCAGTTCAATTTCACTAACAGGTGCATTCACTGTTGAGGATCCTAGATAAGTAATTCCATCAAATATTATAGCATTACCATCACTTCCTTTGTCTGATTGACTTGGTTGTGTGCTTGAGCTGCCTTGAACTGCTTCTTCAGAAGATAACTGGGAAAGGCTTGTTACTTGAGGTGTTTCAGCTTGACCATTTGATGAAGAGCCTTGTTTACTCAGCTCAACGTCTTCTGTTGTATTTAATAGCTGATGGCCTTCAACCACAAGTGAATTTCTTACATGCCTTTCTGTTGCTTTCCATGCATCAGAATTAACCTCCTCTACCGCAGCAGAGCTGTGCATAAAATCTTTCTTTGCATCTTCCACCAGGTCTTGTACTTCCTTCTCTGTTGGTCCTTTCTCAAGGGTAGCCTCCATTTCAGGGATTATAACATCAGCAAAGCTACTCACACTACTCCCTAGAGATTTGCTTTTGTCGATTGAAGAGACAGACACTGCCGACCCAGAATCAGATTCAATATCAGGAGGAGCTAGCACAACATACTCATGATCACCATTGGTAGACTTGGCACCTGGGCTGCGAGGTTCCTCGGGACTGTCTGAATTGCTTTGTTCTATGACACACTCTCCAATACCTGGTGCTTTTTCATCAGCCATAAATATTTCTAAGACGTTTGACAAAGGTCTTAAAAGTCAGCTGTTCAATTCTAATTTCAAAGCCACAAGAGCAATGAATTTCTTGGATTCCTGAGCTTTGAGGTCCACAAATTCAACTTCCAATCAATCTCGCTGTTCCCTTCTTTTGTTTCCGCTAAGATGAACTCAAAAGACGATTTTTCTTATGGTTTCCGTTGAATTGTAATATTCGATCGATAAGAACTGTTTAATATTTCATGTAATGTCGAAACTGTATCCGAAGAAGACCTCCTTAAAATTTAGTTGAAATATTTCCTGATCACGACGTCTCAGCGCGTCGTCTAAGTCGACGACGATGCAAAAATGGGGCTAAACGTTCTTGATCACAGCTACGAAGAAATACTAGATTCACAGCAAAGACCGTCAGGTGCTGGGCCTGTAAATGGAAAGTCCTCACGGTAAGCTAAAATGTTTTTAACAGCCACCATTCAAAACAGAGAAACGAATTCGACAAACATCAAATTCAATTCAAAGCGTGAACATTACGTTTACCGATAGATAATAACGATACCAATACAGAATAAAATTCAGACCTTTCTCGTTACTAAAGGCAATCAAGGAGGTCAGAAAAATTCATGGCAGCCCACTCATATCAAGCTTGAATCTTCGATCTTCGAATATCGAGACAAATCGATCTTTTCAGCTGTGACGTCAAGCAGAGGGAGGATACCACGTTATTTGTTTTATGTTAATGGACTATTGGCTGTGTCTTTTACATTATTCCACTCACATGTACCGTGGATTTCCTAAAATAGACAAAAAATACTTCCTTTGATCCATAAGTACATGAACCTTGACAAAGATCAAAAACAAAGTTTTCCTATCGCTTGCTCACACTGCACTATGGGATTCTTGTTTTCTTCTCAGTGTATTTTTCATGTCAACATTCATGAAGCAGATATTCGATAATTCAAATATGGCGGCTGCACGAGCAATTAGAGCTGCATGGAATATGTCATCTTTGCGAGGTACGAATCATCTCATCATCCGAAAATGTAACATTAAAGACGTTTCAAGTTGCTGCTTTCTTTTTTTCAGGAAACAAACTCATCTCGTCGACTTTGGGGTCAAGAGTGAGAGCTGCCAGTACCATCCATGCTTCTCAGATCTTGTCGGATTCCATCCCAACCCAAAGTGAAGTGGTCAAACCAGGCGATATCGGTAAAGTAGCATTTGAATGTTCTTATGGTGATGAATTTTTTGTTAGTTCTTAAAAGCACTTTAATAAACACATGGAAAATACCCACATGTATGTATATTTAACAATTATTCGAGCTCGGGTTTACCCGAGTGAGTCAATAGCCCATGAGGCCGAAGGCCGAATGGGCTATTGACTCAGAGGCCATGAGGGCGAGAGGAATATTTGTTTTAGTAAAATCCAACTAGTTGGTCAAAAATATCGAGAATAAGAAAATTTTGGCTAGTTAAAGCTAGACTTAAATCCTTTTTGCCGCCAAAAAGCCCGCGCTTTCGCTACTTGTGGGCTATAACAAATAGCCTTGTAGTAGCTCAACCAATCAGAATGCAGCATTGATAATAGACCACTAGCTGGATTTTACTAATAGTGTTTCGTATGAGAAAGTGTTGCGATAGCATCTACAGGGGGATCATGTGTCTTATAGGGCTTCGGTATATTGGCTGACAACTTTGTCGACTTTCGGTCGACATATCAGTTGCTATATTTTTAGATTGGTTGACTGTCATTCGACACGTCAGTCAATATATCAACCCACTCTCGACTGATATGTTGACTGACAGATGACCAAGATGTCAGCCAATATATGGAAATAGCTGTGATTTGGTAACTGACCAATCTGGCATTAGCTACAGCCATTATGTGTAATGATCAATAGTGTCCACTGCATGTCAGTTGAAACGGAAAGGCCTTGAGGATGAGATACACCACCAATACCTTACTGATACTTGACTGACGGCTGACCAATTCATTGCCGACACGCTACTAATACCATAGTCACCTAGCAACCAACTCTTGACCAATATATCGACCATTAGTTGAATGAGATATCAGTCGACACTCCCCATAAGGCACATGATCCCTATATTGTAGGTACAGTGATTGTCCCTAGGGTCCCTAGAGTAACTGCTTGAAACACTTGACTAAAACTCAACTTTCTATCTAGAACCTGTTGACATACACACAACAAAAAACATTTTGGAGCATCCTGATTTCTTTGAAGTGCATAAACTTTTTACAATGAAAGATCTCTTTGATGCTAAACTACACCTTGGCCACCATGAAGGCTGTTGGCATCCCTTGATGAAGCGCTATCTCTATGGAACAAGGGAACATCATCATATTATTGATCTCAACCATACAGTAGAACATCTGAGAGTAAGTAAATACTGTCCAATAGACAACAATATTGTTCCTTCTGTGACACTATTGACCTTTTGTGGGGATTATTATATTAATCAGTTGATTGCCACCAGTGATGATCTGACACAGTGATTATTCAGGATGGAGGAAGGATCACTTTAGACAACATTAATTTTCATATGCTGTGCATTTTAGGGTTGCTTTTCTGTATTTTTTGGTTAGTTTGGGAATTAACGTGCTAGGATTCTAGGTCACTCTTGATGTCGTACAAACATTCTAACATGCTATCCTAAAACACTTATGTACTATAGACACACATAAACAAAAGAAACTCAACTAACATAATGGAAACGCATTGTCGAACTTTGTAGATTTATTACCACCTGCACCATAAGAGCGTACTTATGTAACAAGGCACGAACAAGGTACATTTAGTACTACCACCATACAAGTGTACTAACATACCAACATGTAAGAAAAAGGTAAAAAGTATTACCCTTTGACAAAATGCTGGTATTCTCAAACCCAAAACGGGCATGTACTAAAAAGTTTGAAAAGTTGTGGAACAAATTTGAGCAAGTTCAGTTGAAGTGCTTAAGTAGCTTTCAGTGCTTTCACTGAACGCCAAGCATCAGTTGCTTCTCTCGGGCTGCTGTTGCCTCTACTAAAAAAATAGGCCTGGACTATAACATTATGATCAAACCAATTTTAGAAGGATTTGTATTGAGTCACCAGAACAAAGCAGTGTTTATATCTTTTGACCAAGTTACTTCCACTAACAGGCTGATTTTTGGCAAGGGGGCTTTTTTCATCATCTCCTTTCTGATTATGCTAACCAAGTCCATAATTTATCAAATTTGATTTTTTATAATTTTTTTCTTTTTCCTTTAAAGTCTGACTCAACAGTTTGCATTTAGTGGATCCTTTTCCTGGAATGAATGAAACTTGTTTTATAAAAAGTGACACCTCATATCATGGAAAATTATCTAGTTTTTTGCTTTTCTTCCAGCTGGCCTTGAATGTCTTGTCTCACATTGCTTACAGAGGGGGAATAATTCTGTTTGTTTCTACCCATCCACAATTTGAAGAACTGACACAGCGCACTGCTAGAGAGTGTGGCGAGTACTTCATCACTCGAAGATGGCGAGGAGGAACTCTGACTAACTCCATGATGCTTACAGGAATGACTAGAGTTGCAGATCTTATTATATTTTTACATTTACCTTCGTTGGGAAGAAATATGTTAGCAGTAAAAGAAGCGGCTCAAGCAAATGTTCCAATTATTGGAATTGTGGACAGTGACTGTAATCCTAATCTTATAATGTACCCTATACCTGGAAATGACGATTCTCCTTCTGCAGTTGAACTGTACTGTAATTTGTTTAAGAAGGCAGTGTTAAGAGCAAAGGAGGTAAGAATGGAAAGGCGTTCAAGACGCAAGGAAGAAAAAATGGAGGAAGACTTCCAGCTGTATGAAGAGATAGAAGAAGAGGAAAAAGATGAATCGAGCTTGTGAAGCAATGTCTCAAAAAAATAGATGAAGGAAGTTGCTTAAACAACAGGTGGACATCTTTGTGACAGTCTGAAGGCATCTGCTCGTGCAATAGGCCATTTTACAGTTATGGATGGAAGCGAGGCTGAGGGTGACCTTGTTTTGATACAAACCTTCTTTGCTTTGTTATGGAAATTGTTCTTGAAAAATACTGGTTAGCATAAGAATAACTTGATTTACACAATAAAGCAGGAAGGTTTGTATCAAAACAAGGTCACCCTCAGCCTCGCTTCCATACACAACTGTAAAATGGCCTATTTACTCAGAATGCCTTGAAGCGTTTTAGTCAAAAACACAACTTACTCCAATAAATCAG